AGGTGAAAGATTTGTACTTTCACACTGCAAGATTTTGTTAATATAGCCTTACAATAAAGTAGAATTATTTCATCTGGTCATTTTTCCTATCTCCTCTACCTGAATGAAGATTAGCCTTGCAACTTTCTTCTTAACAAATCCTTGCTTTCTGGTAATCACCATATTGTTTGCAAGGAGTTTATGAATACTCTACTTATTTGTGTATTTTGTTTACTTGAAAGGTGACCTTTGCTAGATTGTTATATATGATTGACTATTTTTTCAATTACACTTTGTCAATATACATTTTATCAGTATACTACATGATTTAGAAATATTGCTGAATCTTTGTACTTCAATTTTGAAGATAATGGTAACACTTGTTCTCCCAACTCACAATATTTGCAAGTTAAACAACCAACGAAGAAAGATTCAAATGTAAAAAGTGATAAGAGATAAGAAACCAAGATTTCTGCTTTTAAATTCCTGGATATTTCCATTCTAGTTCCATCCGTTTCTAAAGAAGAGGGAATTGTACAATCTTTCCCTGCTGAAAGTGTACTTGGATCAGAATGGAGACATAGTAGCAGATCTTGATATTATTAGTATGGTAGTTCTCCCCAAGGACGATCCTATCAACAAGCAATTGGGGAGTTTTGAAAGACAAAGACATATAATCAGCCAAGATGCTTTGTCACAGTTAAAGTTGCTCAACAAGGTGGGGAAAATATTGATCTCTTTTCTCTTTTTTCCAAAGCTGTTTCCAGTGGGCTAAACCCAGTCAAAAAAGTGGGTAACCTTCACTGAGAACTGTATTTGTGGAGTAAAATTTATTTGCTGCCCATCTCACTATTTATAATGGCTTGAAAACTGAAGTACTGAAGCATCGCTTTGCTGCAAAAAAAATATATCAGAAATTAATAAGGGACAATTTTGAGGGAAATATTACTTAGATTTGGGCATTGGCTTGTAAGAGTGCACTTTATCTTAAAATCCCTTGAATGCAACTGTTTATCTTGATTGTTAGGACACACTGAGAGCCTACAAATCAAACTAATTGTATTCTTTCAACAGAAAGGACCTTGTGTTGGATACCTTGTGTTGAATATCCCTTTCACACATAAGACTCACACTCATGACCCATGTGGTGCACCAAAAGATCCCTGACTCACCCTTATTGTAGAACACATTCTCATGACCTCACCTCCATCTCACCTCATTATAGTTTTAGAAATTAGTCAGCCAGGTTTAGTTTTAGTTCACCAGGATGTCAGCCATATAAATTGAATGAAGAATATCTTTAAGATTGACAGCCCTTCTCTGTAAGGAAATTTCCATTTTTATTTTAACTGGGAGATAATTTTGGACGGCTTTGAAAGGGAAGCAGCTTTGCAATGTTTTATGTACTCCAGAAGAAACCTTTCCAGATCCTATTGGTCAAAAGTTTATTTCTTCCTCAAAGTTTTATTCTAGTTTAATAAATCGAATGAAATGAAAATATAATCTATATTTTACAACAAAGTTCACTCTAATATTTAGTATTTGTGAATATTTTAAAATAAAGCATTTATGAAGAATGGAGGAATGCATGTTAATTCCACTATGAGGAGGAACCCACCTATTGCCACTTCATGGTTAAATCTTTTCTCAATTTCATCCATCCAGACTTTGTTAAGCAGAAAGCTACTTTATTGTAATCTGATAAATCAGAAAAAACAGGGAGGAACTGAATGAAGCATTTTCTTGCAATTGTATCTCCTGCCACCATTTGGAAGGGGTCAGAGATTTCATATTTGCCTACTTGAAGCCCAGAGACGACTTGGCTGATGTTCATGTCTACCTCCATCTTACATGGATGGTGAGTCCTGACATATTTTCTTTGGCATTTCTTCTTTTTCATTTTAGTCTCTGCCTCAGTCTAAATGTGTGGAAAAATGCCTTCCTGGATTTGTCAAGAAGGCTCGAGAAGGAGAGCCAGTTTGCTGCTACGACTGCATTCCTTGTCCAGAAGGGACCATCTCCACTCAGGAAGGTGGGTGACACCATAGAGAAACTTTGATCAATATGCATGTTAAAGACACGTGTAAGTTTGATTGTTTAGTTCTTAATTTTTATGGTGTCCAATTTCTTCCCTAATGGGAGGGAAAAGAAAAAGATCTTGCAGGATGAGGTAGGATTGGATAGGAAATGGTATAAGATTTCCTGTCTGAGCAGGGGGGTGGACTAGATGACCTCCAAGGTCCCTTCCAACTTTATTATTATTATTATTATTATTATTATTATTATTATTATTATTATTATTATTATTATTGTTGTTGTTGTTGTTGTTGTTGTTGTTGTTGTTGTTTTGTTGATGTTGTTGTTGTTGTTGTTATTATTATTATTATTATTATTATTATTATTATTATTATTATTATTATCTTTCATTTGCCAGTGTGGATGTTTCCATCCATTTTTTTACTTTCTTAGAAATATCTGCATTCTTTGTAACTTGACGAATGATTTTAGATCAATGGGATTTGTATACCTAAATCAACTTTACATTACAGGCCAAAAGAAACATCAATCAATTCTGCAATTAATCAGTTAATTTTTATCAAGATCATAAATCTTTATAAACTGAAATATCTAATTGGGAAGAACAATGTATACTATAGGGGGTACCTTGCTCAATAGTAGTAACTGTGAGAGGGATCTCGGAGTCCTAGTGGAAAATCACTTAAATATGAGCCAGCAGTGTGCTGCAGCCTCCAAAAAAGCCAACACAGTGCTGGGCTGCATTAACAGAGGGATAGAATCAAGATCACGTGAAGTATTAATACCACTTTACAATGCCTTATTAAGGCCACACTTGGAATACTGCATCCAGTTTTGGTCACCACGATGTAAAAAAGATGCTGAGACTCTAGAAAGAGTACAGAGAAGAGCAACAAAGATGACTAGGGGACTGGAGGCTAAAACATATAAGGAACTGGAATTGAGTATGTCTAGTTTAACAAAGAGAAGGACGAAGGGGGACATGATAGCAGTGTTCCAATATCTCAGGGGCTGCCACAAAGAAGAGGGAGTCAAGCTATTCTCCAAGGAACCTGAAGGCAGGACAAGAAGCAACGGGTGGAAACTGATCAAGGAGAGAAGCAACTTAGAACTAAGGAGAAACTTCCTGACAGTTAGAACAATTAACCAATGAAACAACCTGCCTCCAGAAGCGGTGAATGCTCCAACACTGGAAGTTTTTAAGAAGAGACTGGACAGCCATTTGTCTGAAATGGTGTAGGGTTCCTGCCTGAGCAGGGGGTTTGACTCGATGACCTCCAAGGTCCCTTCCAACTTTATTATTATTATTATTATTATTATTATTATTATTATTATTATTATTATTATTATTATTATTATTATTATTATTATTATTATTATTATTATTATTATTATTATTATTACTGTGCTTAACCCTTTTTTGGTAAACATATGTCCATCATGTGACAAAAGTTAAAAAAAATAAAGAAATAATTAGGAAAGGAAAAAACAAAATGCTCAGATGGCAGACTTATTTTTTTCTGCTTCCTTTGTTGTCCAAAAATGGGTAATAATAATAATAATAATTAGGGTAAGCCTGGCACACAACCAATCAGAGCCAGACATGAGAGACGGACTTTTGTAATAAACTTTTATTGAAGTGCTGCGGTGCCAACCCCTAAGGGGGTTGAGATCTTAAAAAATAGCAAAGCATCATGTTTTATACGGTTGTTTTGAAGAAATGGGGAAGTAAAATTTCACAGAACCTTTATCATTTTGGGAGTTCTACCTTGTGTTTAGTATATGTGTCTGTTCATCTGTGGAGTTGTATCATTTTCTCCATAGAATTGTCTTACACAAAGCTCTATGTGTCCTTTATCTTTATTTGCGGTTATGGTTGCTTATTTTTTGTAACTTAATTCCTGGCAGTATTATTATGTTTCCTTTATTTCAAACTAACATATGTAGTACATTTTCTTTATTCTTTCCTACGATGGGTGTCTATTGATTCTTAATAGATGAGCCATCAGGTGGGTCAATCATCAGTAACTGAGCTTAAACGTTCATATGCCCATCATCTGAAATAAATAAATAAATAAATAAAATATTAAATAAATAAGAAAACAAAAAAGGTAAAGGGGCAGACTTGATGGATCACTAGGTCTTTTTCTGCCATCAGTTTCTATTTCTGTTTTTATCCCACACTCATGGGGTTGCTCTTGAAAAACACCTTGAATTTACAGATGGTCCAGAATGCAAAGCCATGCACAATGTTGGTTTTCCTTATGTTATTCCACAGGACACCCTTATTGTGCTGGCTGCACAGGCTCCCCATTTCTTTCCAAATGCAATTCAATTCACCTTTCAAACCCTCCATGAGACAGAACAAGGGTATCTGTAGGGCTTCCTCTCCTTGAGGATATCTGCTTGTCCCACCAGAGCAGATATAATTGGCATGCAAAAGATCTGTTCCCTAAAACATTGCCACTTTTTGGGTCCTCACAAGCCTGCCTTTTCTGGTGCAGTTCCTGCCCTATTGAACCCACTTCCCCTTGAAATCCAATAGGCCCCCATCTGCTTAAACTACGGGAGAGTTGCTACTTCTCCCAGATATTTGGGATAAGAATCTGGTGGATTACCTCATAGAAGGAAAGTTGTGGCACCAGATATTTCTTCTTTTAATTTTATTATGTTGTTTTGGCATTTATTTGTTTTTTATATTGGGGATTTTTTTTTGCTGGACTATAAGAATATACCATTTACTGAGGCTTTCCCATCTCTCAGTATCACATCTCATCCAAAGGTTTTTTTGAAATTAGAAAGACTATAAAAGAAATGTTACTTTCTTTTCTCAGATATCAAAAAATGCACCAAGTGCCCAGATGATCAATATCCAACCAAGAACCGAGTCAAATGTATTACAAAGAAAATAACCTTCCTGTCCTATGAAGAACATTTGGGCATCATCCTCATTTCTTTTGCTCTACTCTTGTTCCTAACCACAGGCCTTGTTTTAATCATATTCCTTAAATACCTAGAAACTCCCATTGTCAAAGCCAACAACCGGGACCTCTCCTTTATCCTCCTCGTCTCCCTCCTGCTTTGTTTTTTGTCTCCCTTTCTCTTCATTGGACAACCAAGGAAAGCCACATGTCTTCTCCGACAAACAATGTTCAGTATTGTCTTCTCAGTAGCCGTGTCTTCTGTGTTGTCCAAAACAATCACGGTAGTGCTGGCCTTCCTGGCCTCAAAACCAGGGAACAAGATGAGGAGATGGTTGGGGAAGAGTTTGGCCAACTCCATCATCCTTTCTTGTTCAGGTGTCCAAATTTTTATCTGTGTCATGTGGCTGGGAGTTTCTCCACCATTCCCTGACTCTGACCTGCACTCCCAGCCTGGAGAGATCATCCTTCAATGCAACGAAGGCTCTGTCACTTTGTTTTATATTGTCCTTGGCTACATGGGTTTCCTGGCTGCCATTTGCTTCACGGTGGCTTTCCTGGCCAGAAACCTGCCTGGGGCCTTCAATGAAGCCAGACTGATCACCTTCAGCATGCTTGTCTTTTGCAGTGTCTGGGTCTCCTTCCTGCCCACCTACCAGAGCAGCAAAGGAAAATCTATGGTGGCCGTGCAGGTTTTCTCCATCCTGTCTTCTGGTGCTGGGCTGTTAGGTTGCATCTTCTTCCCCAAATGTTACATTATCATCCTGAGGCCAGATCTAAATACTAAGGAACATCTAATGGTAACAGCAGGGACCTGATAATGAAATTGTTATTTACGCTCATAACATTTGATTATTGATTGCAATTGTTGTGGGTTTATATGCTTCATTTTCCCCTAGTTGACACTTTGGTTATTTAAAATCCAAGGAAATTAAAAAAGTTAGATTAATAAAATTAAAATCTAACATAATCATCAAATAATAAAATTAATTAATAATTAATATTTGTGTTTTTTAAACTTTTGGTAGCCCTCCTTTTCCTCACCATACAGGTTAGCTAATATTTAATAATAATAATAATAATAATAATAATAATAATAATAATAATAATAATAATAATAATAATAATAATAATAAAGTTGGAAGGGACCTTGGAGTTCATCTAGTCCAATCCCCAGCTCAGACAGGAATCCCTATACCATTTCGGACAAATGGCTGTGCAGTCTCTTCTTAAAAACTTTCAGTGTTGGAGCATGCACCATTCCTGGAGGCAGGTTGTTCCACTGGTTAATTGTTCTAACTATCAGGAAGTTTCTCCTTAGTTCTAGGTTGCTTCTCTCCTTGATTAGTTTCCATCCATTGTTTCTTGTCTTGCCTTCAGGTGCTTTGGAGAATAGCTTGACTCCCTCTTCTTTGCGGCAACCCCTGAGATATTGGAACATTGCTATCATGTCCCCCCTCGTCCTTCTCTTCATTAAACTAGACATACCCAATTCAAGCAACTGTTCCTTATATGTTTTAGCCTCCAGTCCCCTAATAATCTTTGTTGCTTTTCTCTGTATTCTTTCTAGAGTCTCAACATCTTTTTTACATCGTGGTAACCAAAACTGGATGCAGTATTCCAAGTGTGGCCTTACCAAGGCATTGTAAAGTGGTATTAATACTTCACATGATCTTGATTCTATCCCTCTGTTAATGCAGCCTAGCACTGTGTTGGCTTTTTTGGCAGCTGCAGCACACTACATTCTGAATTACCTCTGGCAAGGCTTTGATTTCTTTCCCCTGGGTAAACCTTTGCAGTTCATCCAATTCTGTTTCTGTGAATACTTTATTTCGTATTATAAATCGGTGTTGATCTGTTAGTTTCTGTTCTGTTATTTCTGATTCTGGATGTTGTTCTTCCAAGAACTGGTGCATTCATTTTAGATATCCTCTTCTTGTTGGACTTGATCTGTAATACCAATTCATTATTTCTTTGTTTTCAATCACTGTGTATTTGTGATGGGTAAACACCTTTGGACTGCTTTAAGCTTTGTAGGTATATTCATGGTTAATTAGGAAGTTCTCAACCTCATCTCCTTCATGATTCTTTCAGAATTTGTATTTCACTGATTGTATTGGGCGGAGAATGGTTAGTCTAGAAGCTGCAGTGTTGCAACTTCAACAGCTGTAATTCGATTTGGTGCTTCTTTTGTTTTTCTCCCGATCGGCTCTTTCTCTGTAATCTCCATTTATTTAAGTTCCAGATCAACTTTCACCCTTTTCGTGGCTTCCTCTCTCTTAGCCTCCCGTTCCAGCTTCTCTGGGCTGAGGTGCTGAGCAGGCTTTCCTCCTTCTGGTGAGGAATCTTCTTTAGCAGACATCTTTATAGCATACAGGTATCTTTGCCACTTCTCAATGTGTGGCTGCCCTAGCACCACCTAGCCTGTCCATTGTTGCCAGTTTCTGTGGGGGTGGGGGAATTAAAGACCTGTGGTTGGTATGTGACCTTTGCTGATTGTCAGATAATTTTTTTTCTAACCCCCCCTTTTGATTCTCTCATTGCCCCCTAATGTTCAATATCCCACTTCTATCACCATATAATAATGGAAAGGGTCGAACTTTCCCCTTGTCTGAGCGAGTTCATTTCTGAAGAAACCCACGTATGGAGGAGTAGCTACTGGCCAATTCGGTCTCCTTGCTCCCTCCCTTCCTCCCCTCCAGTCCTCTGGGGAACTAGAAGAGGATCGAAATCCTCACCCACCTTGAATGCCTATGGTTAGAGTGCAACCTCTGCCGGTGGACAATGGAGACAAATCTTTTTTTCTTAAAGGAGGGAAAATTCCTCTATTCTGTGGTACTTTCCAGGTTTTGGTATCCTACTACTTGTGGAATCAGATGTAGGACCCAGAGCAAGTAACGAACTCCTACTGCAATGTTTATTTGCATACTCTGGTGAGACACCCTCAAATAAGATTCAGAGACGGCCCCACACACAACAAAGTGATGGACTCGTATTTATGCATCTCAAAATGACAGAAGAGACTAATGCATAAGTAACAAACATGTTGATAGGTAAAGGATGTCAAGTTATTATAAGTAAGTGAGCTCACGTTACTTCTTCTGGCTGTTTTCCTTCAGGGAGGGAGGGAGCAATCAAGCAATAAAACAGGGAAGAAAACATAAATCAAAAGCTTTTGAGGTAAGGTGGGCCCTACTAACTTGGCATCATTTCCTCTAGGGGAGCAAGGTGCCTTTTGAAATATGGACTGATCATAAAAATTTAGAGGCACTGAAAAACCCCTGTAATTTATCTCCTAAACTTTAAGAAGCTAGAAGAGAAAATTCAAAGGAATAAAAAAGACTTTAGCTCCTGCCCAAACTAAAGGAAGACAATGGGAGGTCAGAGGGGCCCGCAGTTGTTGCAGCTGTGGGAAAAGTGGCCATTTGTCCAAAAACTGCAAAAGAGAGAAAAGGGAATGGCAAACTCCAGGCTGAGTGGCAGGGTCCTTACAGAGCACTGGGCAAGCAAATGGCAAAATTGATTTGGGAGGCAAGAAAAAAAAGGAAATCTACCATTTCACCCTCCAGAGAAAATGGCGCCATAGAGCTGAACCTGGGATGGCTTTGCTGGCACTAAAGGAAAGGCATCCAGAATCATTGGATGAAGCTTGAGAATCGACACTGCAACCATCCCATGGGAAAAATATGTATGAATTTGGTCCTAGGGGATAGTCGTAAGAAAGAGAAAGGAAAAATGGAACTGTGAGGAAAGTGGTCATTGGTCCAAAGACTGTAGAAGCCAGAGAAAAAAGGGGAATGGCTGCAGTAATGCAAGGGTCCCTTGGAAAAACAATATGATCTTAACAAAAGTTAATGGGACCATTTTGAGAGGCTTACTAGATACTGGGAACATTGGTGCAGCCTCATTTAGTAAACAAGGGAGCTTTACATCTTTCACAAATGTCTTTGGGCGGACTGAGATGGTTGCATTGGTCAAAGTCAAATTACAGTCACAGGGAAAGGAACAGGTAATAGCGGTAGAAGTTATACGTAACTTGCTATGTAGCCTAGTAATTGGAATATATTTTACACTTAGTAAGTTATGCTTAAAGAAAATTGGACTCAGAGAAAAGGACTCAAGAAGGTGACTAAAATAGTGGGAGTAACTATAAGGGCCCAGTCGAAGGCAAAAAAACAAGGATGGAGCAGAAACAGGAAGGGAGGGAACCTGGGATTCTTCCCATCCTTCCTGATTTAATAGGAGAAGTAAGATGTCCTAGAAAGGAGAAAGCTTTATGTAAAAGAATCCATGACAAAGTGAAATGGAGAGGAAAAACATTCAAATATTAGCTATAGAATATTTGGAACGGTTTGATTGAAAATACAGAAGGGACAAAGAGCTCAGTTTTCTTCCATGTAGCTTCAGGATAGATATAGATTCAAATACAATCAGTTACAACTGTAACGTGGACAGTCAAATATTTAAAATAAAAATACATTAACATTATGATTACCATTATTATATACTCCAGATTTCTGCTTACATAAGCACTCCTAGCGGTTAATGGTTTAACTCAAGAAATTTGCATTTTTTTTATTTAATTAAGCAGAAAACATATTTAAACAAATCGTTAAAATAAATATCTTAGTTACTAAATTACACTTAGCTTAAGTTATTCCTCTCTACTAGGACCGAAAATAGAAATTCATGTCTCAAAATCAGATAGACTGGGGAACCCATAATCATTTCTTAGCCTCAGAGAGGCAATGGCTTCTCTGCAGCAAAGAATAGAACATAGAACAATAGAGCCAGGAGGGACCTTGGAGGTCTCCTAGTCCAATCCCCTGCTCAAGCCGGATGGACAATTGGGTTGGGATTTGAAAGGGTTCTTTTAATGTAATATTTCGTGCAGGAAATCCTCAGATCCTGCCTTACTATCCTGCTATCAATACCTTCATGTGCCCCGGGAGAAGGGGTCGAGGTGAGTACTCCCGGATAGGAGTAGAGCCCCAAAAGCTCTCCCTTAACTTAGGGAGAGCGAAAATTGGGTGCTCCTCCGGAGTCCGGGAACCTCCGTCTCCCAAATGCCTTTGCTCCCTTTTTTGGGGGGGAGCGAAGCGAGTCGTTGCCTCCACCTCCGCGAATTATAGAGACTTGTGAGTAATAATAAGCGGATGGAATTGCCCGGGGATACTGGACTTTGAGCAATCTAGGACTTTAATTCAATTTATTTACATCTTCCCTATTGAACTGGGGGAAAAAAAAGAGAAAAAAGATGGCTGCGGTTTGCCTTTCTTCAAAGTGAGAGTGATTTTCTTTTCTCTTTTTTTTTTTAACTTTCACTTTTTGGTGGAGCTGTATGAAGAGGGAAATTGTTACCCCTTGTAACATTGATATGGAAAGTTTTAGTGATTTCTTTTTCTTTTTCTTTTTTCAATGAAAGAACTTTGGATTTGGATTTTGGATTTTTCCCCCCTTGTGTTTCCGAAGCTGTGTTTAAAGAAGTTTGAAAAAGTTGATGGAACTTCCGCTTTGTTTAAGGATTTTCAATAGTTTAACTCTGAAATTAATTTTTCTTTAATTCTATCGATGGTTTCATTTGGAGACTTACAAAAAGTTTTGAAACAAATTAGAGAGAAATCTGAAGAGTTTTTGGAAAGGGAACTACAAGGATTTTGTCAGAACATATCATTTGCTTTGTAAGGTATTGCAGAGGCTAGGATGGAGGGAAAAATGGAGCCTGTAAAAGCTGAAAGTGGACTGACAAAGACTCAAGAACAAGATTTGGATTTTAAGGAAGAT